TGTGTCCAAAGCTTTTAAAAATATTGCTTGAGTCATCGAGTTTTGTATGTTTTTATTATACTTTAATATTTTTGGTACCTATAAATAAAGTTATAAAGGAAATAATGTCATAATTTAGTTCTTTGCATTGGTATTACTTTGCGATATTTTTCTATGTATATCAAAATAATGTCACAAAGTAACATTCTGCATCGGTTACTAAATCAAAATGCACAATTGGAATAGTCCTGAATTCTTTTAAATTATAATTAAAATACATGAAAAATAAAAGGACATTTTGGTGTTAAAAAAATTATTTATTTTCCACTGATCTTTCAAAGGATTGATAGTGGACGTGAAAATTACTATTTCCATTAAGCAACCTGTGATTTAAAATGTTGTGTTCCAGAAAATTAATGAAGAATTATTACGCGAAACTTGGGCCGATCCTGCATCGCCCCGCTTAATCAACTGCTTACAATGCTGTAAGGAGGTTAGTTTCAGTGTGGAAAATTGCTGTATCTCAAATTTTTTGTGATTTTTACATGCCAATTTTCCTCATAGATCGATACAATGCAATATGCCTAGCATTGTCCAACATGAAGTCCTGATATGAATTATCTAGATTTTTTCATTTAGAGATGTATTAAACAGAGTGTGTATTGAACATCCATTGCCACCGCCGTGCAGTGGGAAATATAAATATAAATTTCTTTTTTTTTTCTTCAAATATGCATAATTTTAAGATTCTAGGGCGATAATTTGTTATATCTACAGGGTGTCCGCAAATTTCACCGACAACGTTTGACTGCATATTCACGACGATAAATAAATGCGATCTACGAAAAAAAATGAAATAAAATTTTTTTAATTTTTGAGTTACAGGCCTTTAAAGCTATCAAAAATATTTTAATGAATAACTTCATAACCCTTTTACCGATCGCGTTGAAATTTGGGACATTTATTTGGACTATTATGGCGTATTGTTTCTTAAAACTTTAGTCAAATCAACATACTGGGTGATAGTTTTCTCCGGTTACCTTTCCCTTTTAGCGGTCAAAACTTTTACAGTGGTCGCATTTTTTTAAAACGGGCAGCAACATTGAAAAGGTTGTTTTATTTAAAAAAAAATATATTAAAAACCGAAATGTAGAGATCTGCAAATAATGCCATTTTTCTCAAAAATGGCTTTCTGTAGGTGATTTTCTCAGGAGACAATATATTTTTTTAATAAAACGACCTTTTCGATGTTGCTGCTCGTTTAAAAAAAAATACGACCACTTTAAAAGTGTTGGCCGCTAAAAGGGGGAGATAACCGGAGAAAACTAACATCCAGTATATCGATTTGACTAAAACTTTAAGAAATAATATGCCATAATGGTTCAAAAAAATGTCTCAAATTTTAACGCGATCGGTAAAAAGGTTATGAAGTTATTAATTAAATTAGTTTTATTTTTGACAATTTTGAAGGCCTGTAACTCAAAAACCAAAAAGTTTTTATTTAACTTTTTTTTGGTGGATCGTATTTATTTATCGTCGTGAATATGCAGTCAAACATTGTAGGTGAAATTTGCGGACACCCTGTATATAGGAATTTCTTAAATCTAGTAAGAACCCATCAAAAATAGTACCTAATTCGGTAATGAAAAATAAAAAAATCAAAAATTTCATATCCGAGGTTGATTAAACAACGAAAATAATCATGTAGCTTCACAATACTTTCCAACCTTAAACCTGAATTCAAGAACATAACCTCAAATTCATCAAACCTAACCTCAAAGTAATACATATACTCTTTTCTAAATCTATGGATATCATTACTTGAAAACTATATCTTTGAGCTTATATTTCTTAACTTTAAAGCCATAAACCTACACCCATAAAAACCTAACCTCAAACCTTTCAAAGCCTAACCCCAAACTCTCAAAACCCAACTTCAAATTCTATAGAGCTAGAAATTCATAGAATGTATATGTTCCACATCAAAGAATAAAAGTCCTTGAAAACTATTTTCTGAAACTTATATTTTTTATTTTTGTAGCCTAACCCCAACTCTCAAAACCCAACTTCAAATTCTATAGAGCTAGAAATTCATAGAATGTATATGTTCCACATCAAAGAATAAAAGTCCTTGAAAACTATTTTCCGAAACTTATATTTTTTTATTTTTGTAGCCCCTAACCTCGATTCTTAAACATCTAACCTCAAATCCAAAAATCTTTGGTGGAAAGTCAAACGGAGTATATTTTTCAAACTAAAGAATGCGACTCCTTGAAACCTCTATTTTGGAGCTAAGATTTTGTACTTCTATGTATATCCAATACATAGATAAAATTTCATTCGATAAATTATAAAAATTTCAACAATTTCAGTTAAAAACTCAGACTCAAAATCTATATTATTTACCGCAATTATTCGATGGACTGCATTTAATTATCTTTATTTATATAAGACATAAGCCCTTTTACCGCGTTAAGTCTTTAAAACGGTTGTTTTTCTGTTTTTTTACTTTTATTTATTTGTTTTTTTCTTTTTGATTTTTTTGTTTGATTTTATTTTTTCCTACTTCTAATTTTTATTCAGTATTACCAAAATTTTCATTTTATTTTTAAGGCGACGCCGAATACTTTTGTGTACAGTCGATGAAATTAATTAGACCTAGAACACGCATGTAACATAATTTTCATTGCTGTTTGGAGGCACAGAGAAATATTTCAATGGCAAAAAATGTTGCACCAGACGACGTCCCTGAAATTCTTGCATGTACTCTACATACCAGGTTTTAAAATTATCTTCTGCATTATTTTTAAGTAGAAATATTCTGTATTTACTTGCTGTCACATTTCGTTATACTTTCAAATTTCCGCCCGACGCGTTTTGAACACTTGTTTTTACTAAAATTAATCATTTTTACAACCCGACCCGTCGTCTACGACAAGATCCGCAAATTGAATAACAATATCTGGCCTCATGTATAAAAGATAAGCAACTTTATTATTTCCGGTCCATTTTTTGTATGCCTCCTGCATCATACACATCAGCATAATATCGTACCGGACTCCATTAATCTTCTAGAGTATAGTTATTAGGCGCCGCAAAACCCAGGAGAAATTCCACAAAAACCCACACACACACACATACACACATTTGAGCAGAGAATGCGGTAATATAATAAATGTCCTGCGACCAATTTGAATCGCCGGTCACAAAAGATTGACCACAGACCAACAAAACCCCCAACAATGCCCTCCATCACGGACGTCAAGAGGATAGAAGGGATAAAATAACTCATAAAGTTTTAGTGGTGTTATATATCTAGCTACATTATATTACACTTCATGAACTAAAGGAATAGTTTTTATCTTGGGGAAGAAATATGCGGCGCGAAACCGCGCACCTCATTTATTTCGTCTTTATGTTGTACAAAAAAACACAAAGGTAATAGTGAAAATAAACTAGCTTTGGCTTCTCTAAAATTGCACAGCGAAGAAGTTCATACACTTGTTTAAATTCACGAAGTAGTACAAGCACAATAAATAATTATTTCATTATGTTGTTTATCTTATTTTATTTATTTTTAAAAAACAAAGTCTTTTAACCATACACCCACGCACATCGAAATGCGCAAAGCAAAAAATGAAAATTTCGCCGATATTTTGAATATTTTCCAAACTTCCCCTACGGAGCCCCGATTTCCGCCAAGCGCCATCAGTCGTAGCAGGGATGGTAACAAAGCATTCAGCAGTTGACACACCGCCGACAAAGCGCAAAGACGCAGAAATTTTCGACTTAGTTCCGAATTTTTGGAAAATGAAACATTTCCAAATATTATAGAGCAAAAAAATTCATATAAAATTAAGAATAGGTCTTTACTAACTGTCATCTTGGGATACCTCAATGACCTTGAACTCATGATCAATTTATAACCCTTAATGTACCTAAATCTTATGCTAAATTACAATATTTTAAGTACTCCCTTATGCATACAAGACAGGACACCCTGTAGATAAGTAGTAGAGAAAAAAGCTCTAACAAAAATTTTTAAGTGGGAATATTCTTAATCAGGAATACAAAATACCAAGAATAAGTTAATAAAAATTGATTCCTTGCCGACTTACTCGAAAGCAGCTTTGTGCGGAAGGAAACAGGAATTCCTTGAACAAAATACTACATAATGAAATTGTTCAATTATAATCCAATTTGTTACCATACAAAGACCCGGTGCTTTTGTCTTTGTCTGCAAATAGTTCTTTTCAACTTGACTAAAAGCTCCTCAGGACTTCTAAGAAATACCTTTGAAAGATCTAATCCAATGTTAGCGACAAAGCTCATTACGTCCAATCAAATAAACCATTTATTTTGTGTATAAACTTGGCTATTTTTCGATGAAACAGATTTTAAGTAAATATTAAATACATGCCCAAAAAACCAAATTTAAAGATCTATTTCAGTTAAAAGCTTGACACAAGCTCATGTGAATTGGTTTGAATATCTTTATTATCTCTTATTGACGACAATGCGAAGGTAAACCAACCTTTAAAGGAGTTGCTGTTTGTATACCTTATAAGGAATAGCAAACACATTAAAAGCGGAAACAGGAAAAGCTTTTCAACAAACCATAGAAGGTGATAGTTCTGTCTTTGAATGACGTGAGCGAGTATACGGACTGTGTGAAACTAATATCCCCCTTTGAATTGATTTTATCTCTTCACAGGTGTTTCTGTTAGAAATACGAATAACAGAAATAAACATACCGTTGCCTCGGGGAAAATGTATCTCTTATGACGTTTATCAAATGCTACGTCATTTGTGCAGTGTCCAACCGTGTTTTAGATATTGGCAGTACGAAGACCAAACAACAAATTTCTGTACAGATTGGTAGATTGGCGGTTGTGATGATATTCTCATTAGGGAAAATAAGCAGGATACAACACTAAGCGCTCTGCTTGAATTGAAAATACTATTACTAACTCCTATATTCAAATTTCATTTCAATTAGACGATACGAGCATAAAACCCACCTGCATCTCCGTACTCCGCCAAGTAGAACAGCAGGAGGAACAGGGGAAACGTCGTAAAGTGAAGGTGTGTAATATTCTTCATATCCGGTGCATAGCTCATGCCACATTTTGTACGCCTTTATGATGCCACTTCCTGCAAACTTCCCCCGGAAACGACCTTCTGGATACACATCTGAGGGTCCGCGGAGTCACTCTAGGCGGATTAAAACCTGGAAAAGAAAAGGAAAGGTTTATATGTATCCAAAACATAATATAATAATGGAAAATAAAAATGTGAAAGAGAAAGTAAATGTACTTTAACTCGTCGTGGATGAAACGCAGTAATTTGTTTTTATTTTCAGAAAGTGAAGTGTCAAATTTGATACTGAAGATGTAAATATTGGAGTATTGCATAAAAGGGCCAGATTTAGTCCCTATGTATTCCTGCACTTTGTGGATTTAAAGTGCTATTTTGATCGTTATTTTTAGTCAATAAAGTGCTAGTTTCAACACATAGAGTTCAATTACGTTTTTGACGTTTTGTGGGTTTAAAGTGCTAATCTTTATTTTTCGTCAATGAAAAGTCACTTTTAATCAAAAAGTATTGAATTTACGTCTTGCACTTCATGGATATAAATTAGAGCCATTTTTATTTTGATAGGGAATAAACTTGTTTCGACCTTTATTTTTAAACAGCAAAGTGCCAGTTTTAATACCTATGTATGGATTAAGATAAAATGTTTGCACTTAATGTATTTAAAGTGCTATTTTAGTCTTTATTTTTGGATTATAAAGAGCTATCTCAAATCTCTAGAAATAAACTTTACTTAATAGAAACACAGTTGTTTTGATTATTGTTGTTAAGGAATAAAGTGTCAGTTTTAATGCTTAGGGGTTAAACTTATCTTTTTGCACTTCATTGATTTAAAGTGCTAGTTTAATCTTTAATTTATACGGAAAAGTGTCAATTTTAATCTGTAAATTTACTTTTTTAGAACTTGATGGGTTTTAAAAGCATTATTTTTATATACATTACTTTTATATATTTTTTTTATGTTAGCTAGTAAAGTGACAGTTTTAATCTATAGGTGTTACATTTATTCTTTCATTCTTTACAGATGTAAAGCACTATTTTTATATTTATTTTTGGGAACAAAATCATTATTTTCAGATTTTCAGACACTTCATGAATTTAAAGTGCTGTGTTTTACTTTAATCAATTTGTTTAAAGTACATTTTTGCATTCCTTTAATTAGCATTGATAAAAGCGAAGTACCAGTTTTAATCCTCAGCGAATTTATGGTATTGTTTTTATAAATCTTCACTTCAAATTAATAATTAATTTGTAATACTATTGAAACACATTCTGTATGTTTCAGTTCTAGTTAAAGTGCCTTTTAACGGTGATTTAAAGATGCACTTTACAATCCAATTATATTTTATATTACAAGACCTGGTAACGTGGCAACTTTTTTGCTCGACTTTCGATTCCACTTTATCCTGAAATTATAAAATATTAAATATCTGACACCGAAACACTCGGAACTGACGGCGCGGTACGAAATTTGAATTTACGGCCATTTTAATGAGCGGCTGATGCCGGCTGAAGCGCCTCCCGCTGAAAACGGTTATATTTCAGTCCTTTACAGCCGCGAGCCATTCTTTTCCCAAAGCGCAGCGTAAGATCTCACCGTCATCTCGGGCTTACGGCGCTTTACTTCATAATAGAAGGTAAATTACCGCAAAGCCTCTCACTTATCCCCGAGTTTAGCGATGTGTGCAGCCGTTCAGTCGTTGTCGACTTCGCGCAGCTCCTCAGGATAAAATTAAATTAAGGAAATACCTACTTTATTACGTTTCGCATTCCTCCAGGCCAACTGCGAGGACTCGAGTGGGTCGGCTCATAGATAGCTGAAAGATGTAAGTTTAAATTGCATTGCTCATCCTCTGAAAAGCCGATGAGAGTCGGGGAAAATTAATAAAGGTCGCTTGTGACGGAAGACGCCTCGTTCCGATCGGTGTAGTTCCATAGACGCAGATCTGCGGGGTGTTTATGGACTTGGAAATACAGGATATCCGGAAAAGTCATGTCAGAAATGAAGGGATATACAGGGGAGGTCAAAATAGTTGTAATACTTCATAAAAAAATTTTTCCTATCGGTCTTCGTTGTGGAGTTATTTGCCTTCAAAGAAGTTTTAAAAACAAATTCCAAATCAATTATAACATCTGCGTTACCATGACAACAATGAAATATGGATTATACAGGAGCAAACGAAATTATCCATTGAAATTTATACATCTTTGACAGCGTTGCAAAATTTGGTACTTTTTTTTTATAGTTCGATTCCTCTCTCACTTTACTAAAAAAGGTGTACTCGATATCTTGTACCGTTTTTGAGAAAATCCAATTTTATTAACAACGTACATGTATTGTATCAAAAATGCGATATTAACATTTTTGTAAAAATCTTAGTTTCTTTATAAATTGAGATGACTGTCAACATAATTAGCAGTTAAATATTTGTCATAAATCACATGTCATAAATACCATTTGAAGAGCACAGGGGAAAAAGGGGGAATGTTACTTTTACATGTTTGTTCAGAATAAGCTTTTTAAACTTTGCAATTGTGTACATATTTGTTATATAAGTATATAAAGTTTTTAATTTCAAAATTACCTTAAAAAATCTACGATTAAAATAATGTTCGCAAATATTATTTTAGTAAAAAAAATATGTTGAATTAGTAACAAACTCACAAAATACGACTGAAAACGGTGGAACGTCACAAAAAATTTATTAACATAGGTACAACTGAAAAATGGGGAATGTTCAAAGAAAGATAGGTCAGTTGTTACAAAACATAAGAATATTCTTACAGATAATTTAATATCTAATATATATAATATTGGTTAGAAAAGGGCAATTGGGTATAATAATATTATGCTGCAGATGAACAAAAGCCCTTAAGCTCTTGTAAGTTTTTATATTTCTCTTCAGATATGGGTAGAAGATCTAAAAGATGGCAATTAATAAAAATAATATGAATGTTTATTACTTTTGAAATTATCTAAATATTTACGTTGTACGTATACTACCTAAACAAGTCTCATTTCTAGTTCGTCCGTTATGGACATTCCCCGTTTTTCCCTTGGAGGGTATGGACCGTTTTTTCAAAGTACATATATATTTGAACTCATTTATTTTTGTGACCATGCTACATTTTTATACAGGAGACTTACTGATTATCAAGTTTGAACTATTCTCTAACAGATGCCACCACTAACTCAATTTGGACTAATTTGTGACATTCCCCCTTTTTCTCCTGCTCCTCATTTGCTGATTCAATATCATGGAGAATTTTAGCTATGAATAATTTACAGATATTTATCTAATGTACGAACTTGTAGAATGTAATGCTTCTGAAGCTGTTCAGATTTACGCCAACCGCAAACAGAATTTGCATATTTGAAGTGACGAAAACCCTCATTCAGACAAAACGCCAACAAAAATTTATCATTAATGTATGGATGGGAATAATTGGAAACTACTTAGTATGATTGATGACACTTTAAATGGGGATAAATACCTATATTTACTGCAAGAACACCTTAACCCGTTATTGGAAGACGCTTTAAATATTTGAGATAACAAGTGGCTTAGGTATGGCCAATGGTGCACCAACCCATTTCATCAGGGCAGTAAGGGCTTATTTAAATACCACATTTCCCGATCGATGGATCAGTCGAGGTGGTCCTTTTCCGTGATCGTCTCGGTCTCCCGATATTAATCCTCTCGATTTTTTTCATTGGGGCCATCTTAAAATTCTTGTTTATCAAACTTCTATAAATAGTAGGGAAGAATTATTAAATCGCATAATTACATAAGCCGGTGTCATTAGAAGTGATCATCACATGTTATTTCGAGTACAGCAGCGGTGATTGAGCAATTTCAGAAAATGCATTGAAATTGAAGGTGCACATATTGAACATATTACTTAACAGTTCTCTTTTTTCTTTTAATTCTATATAATCCAAGATTTTTACAAAAATGTTAGTATCACATTTTTGGTACAATAAATGTACGTTGTTAATAAAATTCTTGCCCCCCCCCAATGTTGTACATAAATTAAATTAACACTATGATACCTGATATCTAACATTGTACGCAGATAATCAATCTTTGATTTTTTTCGTAAGATTTTGTGATCTACAAAAATATGTCTAAATTTAGATATTGGTTCAAATTACAGACAAAACAACCGTTAAGCAGCGATAATATTATAGTTTTTGAAGTATTAATGGATGAATGTTTCAGCTGAAAACCGCATTGTAAACATCTAATTTCAAAACTAAACTCAGTGGATTGTCTGTTAGTTATTTCTTTGTTTTTCCTTTTTTATTGGGAATTCTTCCACCTGTGAAAAAAATAATTAAAAATTATAAGTCGGATCCAGACTACGATATGGCGTATGCATATGACCTAATTCTACCTTATCATCGAATGTTTCAGCCACGCCAAAGAGAGTTTTCAGAAGCTTGGTAGGTATTAACAGTACTTGTTCTTAAGCATCTTTAAAAAGATTTAAAAATGTTGACTGTTATTTCTGTGTCAGTTTATTAAATGTATATGTGTTTTTGGTAATAACATTAAGTTTTTACAAATTTTGATAAGCAAAATAAGTCGGTTGGTTCCAAAATGAAAGTATAGTGAATCCCAAATTCATAAAGTGTTATGGACAGATGAGTGAATGTTTTTTCAGCTACACATAATACGATATACGTACTATAAACTGAATAATTAGTTGAACATAATAATAAACACATATACTCCAGTCGGCAGAGGCTGAAAAGTTACTGTTAGTGACATTTTCTTGATAACTCGGAAATAACTGCAGTAGATAGGCTACCTTCATACGACGCCAAAATCCCATGTATTTTCTTATGAAGGTTCATATTAGCAGTTTTTGACTAATTTTACCCCCACTCCTCCTCCTTTTCCCTTCCCCCTCCTCTTCCCCGCCAGCTAATCAAAGCGCAGCAATTTTGGCGGGAAAAATGGCGGGAAATTCAATATGTAGTCACCTAGGGCTTTGACCCCACCTAGGGCTTTGCCCCACCTAGGCCCCCATACAAGTATCTCCACGTAGGTATGTAGGATTCGCCCACGTAGACAAGAGTATTGTGCGTAGGCCTCCGCGTAGGTATAGCTAA